TGAGAGAGAGACAGAATGCGAGTGGGTTAGGGGCAGAGAGGGAGGGAGACACAGAATCCGAAGCAGGCTCCAGGTTCCGAGCTGTCAGCACAAAGCCTGATGCGGGGCTCGAACTCATGGGCCGTGAGATCATGACCTGAGCCGAAGTTGGATGCTCAACCGACTGAGCCGCCCAGGCGCCCCAAGGGAAAGAGCCATTCTTTAACCCAGCGAGTCAGTTTTGGATTCTTGAACCCTCCTCCTCTGGACACTGGACCCTTCCCAAGACTGCTAGGGCCTCTGCTGCTACCCCCACCCCAGGGACACAGTACATACAGGCCTGTAGAGAGAGTACAGCTGCCTTCAGTGAGAACCCTGGGGTGGGCTCCTTCCCCCTCTAGCCTTCCCCTCTGCCAGCCCTTGGGTTCAGTGCCCAGCGCCCAGTCAACATCCCAGCAGGAGAGTCTAGGCCAGGTGGGGAGAATGGAGACCTCTAGCTCAGGTACTTACCAGCCCTGTGTTAGATGCTTGGGGAAGTGGTGAACCTCCAGAAGGTGTGTGTGTTGGGGGAGGGGGTAAATCTGAGGGATTTACACCTCCTGGCACTACAGTGCCAAGGTTCAGCCCCTTCCCTAGGCCTCACAAGCTGCAAATTTGGACAGAGCAGCGTTAGGCCGGCACCTTTCATAGAGTGCCAGGCCTGGGGTGGGGGATAACCAGGGTTTCTCCAGCCCACGTATGGCCAGTGGGGCTGGGAGGCCAGCTCTGAGATGGGACACCTGGTATCTTCCCAGCCCATATGTGACCCTCAGGCCCTTGGGGACCTGGAGGTAGCAGTAGGGACCAGCTCCTCTATCCATCCCCGAGGCTTGGGGTCTGTTCTGCCCCATTGAGGGAAGGGGAAGTAGGGGGTGAACAGCTCGGGCCGTAGGATCAGAGCTGGGACCCAGGCTGGGACCTCTAGGCCTCACCCCCCATATAGAGAGAGACTGCCAACAATCTGAGTGCCTATGTGCGTGTCTTTCCAGACTTTTATCTACGCATATCTATTTCTCTAGATACTTCTTTGTTTTACAAAACCAAGATCATATCATGCATGTGTCTTCCTTGCTTTTTTCTTATCTGTTTTGAACTGTTTTAACTGAAGTGTAGCAGACCTACAGAAATTTACATAAGTTGTGAATGTATAGCCACTTATGATGGAATGATCACAGAGTAAACACATTTTTGTAACCAGCACCACCTCCCCCCCCCCCCCCGCCAAGAGCCCCAGCACACCTCTTCCTAATCTGTCCCCAGGATTCTCACTACCTGACATCTGCTCCCAGGGGGCTTGGCCCTGCCTGCTGTTGCCCTTTGTCTGTACTCCTCTATGTCTGGCCTCTTCTATTCGACATTGTTTGTGGGAGCCATCCATACTGTGGCTGTAGTTTGTTTACTGTACAGTGTTTTGTTGGATAAATGCAGCACAGGAGTTTGCTGCTCTGGTTGAAGGACAGTCCCTGGCTTGGGGGCAGGATCCCTGGGGGGCCGCTGCAAAAGCAGAGATGTCGGTATTAATGAGGCATTAATCCGAAAGGCAGAGCGACCTAGGTGCAAATGCTGCCCTGGGGTTTGTAGACTCAGTTGCAGTACTTAAGCTCCGCCTGCCTCTTTCCTCCTTCCTCTCTCTCTGAGAGAAGCCATCTCACCAGGGTTATGAGGAAAGCCCTGGAACAGAACACAGATGGACCTGCTCTGCCAACCTTCACTCCTTTTCCTCCAGCCAGTGGTGAAGGAGATGAACATGTGGTTCCCCAGGGAATAACCCAGGGAACCACAGAAACGCTGGTCCTAAAATCTCTCTGGGCCTCTTGCCTGGCTGAGCTCTAATCTGGGCATTATTATTTTGTTCATAGGACAAAGGCCTGACAAAGCCAGTAGGGTAGCAGGGAGGTCCCTGCCCCTTCTCCCAGTGGCAGACAGCCACTAGTGTCTAATGCCCCTAGGCTGTGACTCTTGGGATGGGAGTGGGAGGGGAAGTTTAGAAGCCTCTGTCCTGGGCTGTTTGCCAAGGCCAGGGCAGGGTGAGGGAAAAGGGCCGGGTAGCTGGGCGGGGGGACAGGGGGGTAGTCCCACATGACCAGCCAAGAGGGTCCTTGGCTTCACACAGGATAGAAATCAAACATAAGCCAGGGGTGCCTGGGTGGCTCAGCGGTTTAAGTGTCTGACTTCGGCCTAGGTCATGAACTCGCTGGTCCCAGGTTTGAATCCCGCGTCAGGCTCTGTGCTGACAGCTCAGAGCCTAGAGCCTGCTTTAGATTCTGTATTTCCCTCCCTCTCTCTTTTCGTCCCTCACTCACACTCTCTTTCTCTCAAAAATAAATAAACATTTAAAAAACAAACAAACAAACAAAAAATCAAACACAAGCCAGAAAAACTGCGATCAGTTTACTGAATAGTGTAAGTGACAGGTAGAGACTAGCAGACGGAGTGTCTGGGAAACTTGGAAAGGAAAGGAGACTGAGTCTCGGTGTTGATGGGATTAGGGATTTATATTGGAAAGGGGTCTAGGGTGCGTGTTCCTTCAGGAATCCAGGGGAGGGTCTGATGAAAGGCTAGTGTCTGATGAACAATAGATGCTGTTCCATAAATTATTGAAGATAAGAGTATTGATGCCAGTGTCACCCAAGGTTTGTTTGAAGCTAATGTCCTGGAACATGTTTGGGATCTGG